TATGGAATTTTCTTGGTAAATTTTGATGAATCAATTGAATTTCACAATAGTATATATATATATATATATATGCGTGTATGTATGTATGTATGTATATATATGAAATTTGAAGTAAAATATTATATTATTGAGATAATATTTTATGTCCTGGACAAATGATTTGTATTCCCTTTGAAAACCTAGTTTTAAACAGTGATGAATAGTCCTCATCATATGAGTTATGACCCTTTATGTATATAATAGCTTACATCTGATCCTGCTTGTTTCAGGAGGTCAGAATACTGGTCCCATACCGGCACTTTCAGACCCTTAAATTTGTCACTCTGCACAAGGTCCATGACAGCTGCCTAACAAATCAGACCTTATTTAGTGTCAGACACAATCTACAATTATGATAAGTTACATACATTAACAAACGGAGGTGAAATTTGTGATTTAGCCATTAAAAAATAAAAGATGCCAGATAATGGTACAAATGTTATTACCCATCAGAGGTATCAAGAGGAAAAAGCTTCAGTATTGCCTTCAGAAGTTCTGGTATACCTACACCTTAAAAAGTAAAACCATATACTTGATTAAACAACTAAATGCACAGCAATTAGTGACAAAAATGTCATTTGCATATTAAGAATTATTTTGGGCTGAGTAGATCTGGAACTACAATAACTTAGGCTACAAATGATCAGTTATCATTTCTTCTGTAAAACCATAAAAAATTAACATGAGATTTATTTTAAACAGTGTAAGAAATGTGCTAAATCTTTTTTTCTTTTAACTAGTGCAAGTAATTATTTTTTAAACAGTTTTATTGTAGAAACAATACCTGCTACATTTTGTAAAAGTTTAGACGCTTGTAGGACACACACCATCCGCTCTTATCTCCACTGGACCACATTTACAAATAGATGAGGTTGGACAATTTGCGTCTGCAAGAACAAAAAAAAAAAAGTGATACATGACAATCCATACATAGAGGTTTTATAACTGTATTGCACTGATGTCTCCTCTGTGCTCATAAGACAAACCAGATCCACTCAAAGCTACAGACGGACGGAAAATCAACGCTTTTCAACATCAGCGGGAGTCGAATAAGCGGATATGTGCTTTTGCTTAGAGATAATAAAAATGTGACATTTTTATGAGAGACAGCCTACAAAGTTTTTTGAGTGACATTTTGATGATCGAAATGAAAGCGCAAGTTGCGCGGTACGGAGCGCTGCCAAAGCAATGTGACTTCCCGCTTTACTGCACGAACTAGGATTTATCCGTGGCGTTTTTACATCGTATCTAACCTTGTATAAGCCTATGACAGGATATTTTTATCCTAACACGTATATCGTCTTATATTAATCCAGATATCACATGCGTGACACAAGAACGCCAGGCTTCAGAAGGCTGGCGTGAAGTTCGTAAAAAGGAACACTATGATCTGATCTCATTAACGACTTACAATTCATCTCCATGACCCATTTGCGCCAAAACTAACAATAATTCAGGCGTAAGTATGGACGGAATTCCTTTTTAGTACAACCATTTCAAAAAAGTGACAGAACACGAGAGAGTTTGTGGAGAATCATGTGACCCTTTAATGTATTTCAATTGGTAGAGCTACAGTACGTCTCTAACGCAACCTGCGTTTCGAATAGCCTACGTAATTTGCGTACCTCTTGGTACTCATGACAGCAGCCTAGTTTTAACTATTTATTTCATATTTAAGCACGACTGGTTATAGGCTACATATAGGTCTAACGTTACTTTCCGTTTCAGAATGAGAAGGCATTTTAATTTTCAGCATTGCCTTTGCATAAATTTACTTATTGTGTTATCTGAGTCATAACCTCTTACATTTTCAGATACCCAGCATGCAAATAGCCTAATGAAAATGTCAAGTTATCAGAAAGCAAACAGAAATAGCCTTTGCGTGAGAGGTAACCGACATCCACTCGATCGGTCGATATCTTATAATTTTCTTTATAGTTATTTTTGCATTTATATTTAAAACGTAGGCCTAGGCTATATAAATGATTAATTAGCAAACTACTACCCATTAAAAAATTACCAAATAACATCAGTGGCAGTGCTAGAGTAGCATAATTGTAATATCCGTATAGGCTAGATCTTAAAATAATGCATAACAGATTAGCCTATATCAACAGGAGTTTTCAAAATCATTATTTCACATTTTTATCATGCATGACTCGTCTCTGACGACCAAGCATTGCATTGTAATTTTGCGCACAATGTGAACCATTAGGCTAACTTGATATAAAACTTAAGGTAGCCTAGTCTAAAATGTTGAGGAAAGATCCTTGTACTCAAGCCCATCATTTGCGGTGTGACTGAAACACTTTAAACTGATTTTCAAAGATCCCGCGTGAAATTGTACATTATCGCTCCTGACTATTCGACAATGGTGTTAAATTCCCACAAGATCCAATGCTAATAAATAAAGTATTCAATGTCTAAGCAAATTGTAATGTCATTAAGAAAAATTTAGATTTTCCCCCCTATCTAGTTGGACATTTATTTGGAAAAAAAGAAATTAGAAAGCTAATTGAAGTTAAACTCGCGTCTAAATGAAGAACGACACCTAGACGTGCAGCTGCTGAAGAGGAACTGCTGGTGATGTGGTTGTAATTCAGGGAAATTTGCTCCAAAAGAGGTGTGTGGAGGCTTTGCAGCTGCGAAATGTAGAGTGAAAGTGGAAAGATGGAAGACTGATGGAAGAAAAGACATTCGGAGGAGCCAAGACTGTCTGATCAGTTCAAAGCTCTTTTCTTTTACCGAGGAACCATGCTGCTCCCTCTTTGGTTCTGCTTTTTTAAATGAGTTTATCACGCTATGAGGAGCTGCCTCTGCCAAAATGTAACGTTTTGCCCCTTTTGTCTGCGATGAGCGCCTCAATTCGGTCTACATTTATTATTTTGACCTTTCGTTAGCAGGGGATAGACTTCAAAGTGGAACCTTTCTTTTGCTGTCTTTAAGGAGACCTTTGTGCTGTTGCGGTGTGTGGAGAGAAAGTTTTTTTCTCCTCTTTTAAAAGTTTTGTTCTAGGGGCTGAGAAGAAAGCTGGAGTCTGAGGGAATATTGAATGAAAATTAAAATCAATTAGGCTATGGACTTTTGAGTGCTTGGAAAGACGCCGTGCGAAAAAAAGCCGAGATTTTCAAGTGAGAAAATGCTCTCAGTTGATGTGCAATTGAGATGAATAGCCTCTTCCTTTAATTACATTTGCTGTGGTCCTTCTGGACGCTGTATTTCACATAAAATAGCCAGCGTTTAATGCGTAAAAGTGGGTTGTAAGTTCTCTGGTGATCTTTAACCTGACAACTGATGAAAGTTATGATTAAACGACATTAGTTATTCGTCAGTAACTAGAAAGTTTGAGAGGTTTAGTTTTAAAAGCTGCGAGAGATTTCATAACTTGCATTTAAGTTATTGAAAAACGGATAGGCTACAAATAGCAAGTTATTAAAGTAACATTAAAAAAATTAATTAAAAAGAGCATATTAATCAGCTGAAAATGCTAGTTATTTATAAATCATCGTTTCAATACATACAGTGATATGTTAAAGGTTAGATTATTTTAAAGAGTTTTTGCTATGAATATGTTGATCCTGTCGTTGGTTATAAACAAACTTCACTATGCCGCACGAAACCTGCATTGCGCTGTATTTATAAACACTATAGTTCACAGTGCCCTCCAAAAGCCCATTTTGCACTATATCAGATGAAAACACTTAATAATATTACATTACACTTTAATAATTTTGTCAAATAGGAGATATACCATTAAAAAATCACTACAAAAATACTACTACAGCGACTTTATTAGGCTAACTCAATGAATAAGCCGCACGAGAGACTGAAAATACACCCACAGCACCACCTAGTGTACAAAGTGGAATTGCGACGTCTTTTCCCAATTAATTTTAGTCAAATAATCGCCATATCAACATACAAAGTCAAATCAGAGGGGTTTTGCAAAACCTTCAACAGTGTTGTACAGTAATTACAAACAATTTAGAAAGGTTATGGCAATGCCATTTTCTCTCTCTTAACTGCTAAAGTGTATGCTAGTACAAAGCATGGCCGAGTGTTTAAATTACACACAGTTACTGTACTGGATGCCTCTATTTATGTTGTATCAGCAAAGAAGGGTTCAAGGTGATAATACCAGACAATCAACAATACCCGGACATTAATTAGAAATGGGTAATGTATAAACCAAGCTAAATATGAGTTCATTGAACTACATGTTAAGTCAGTCAACCCGAAAGTACAGATCTTGTTGTTTTTTTAATAAACACTTGATAAGAAAATTAAGGAAAAGTAGAGTATTTTAATAACAGCAATTGATCACATGGTTTAAAAATCACCATATTTTCCACTGGAATTTTACTTGTCCTGGAAAGCAGCCTTTCGCTTCTCGACAAAAGCAGTCATGCCCTCCTTTCTGTCCTCCTGAAAATTAGACAGCAAGTTCAAGAATGAAGTCATCTTTTTCTTCAAAAAAGGAAATTAATAATTGGAAAAAAAGTGACGCACCGTCGCAAAGGTTGCATGGAACAATCTTTTCTCAAGTCGATTGCCCTCAGCTAAAGTCAGTTCAAATGCTGTAATTAAAGATCAAATAAAACTAAATGGCTGCACAGGACTCTATGTATTTTTTAATCTGGATGCATGAAATTTGGATGCATGAACCTAATGTAAGTCATTCATGAAATATGAGCAGAAAATATTTCAACAATAAAAGTATCAACTATCTCTTTAATGAAACTCTTACCTGCATTGACAGCTTCCTTTGCCATGGCTGAGACAAGTTTGGAATTGCCAGCTATTTTCTCTCCACATTTGATCGCTTCTGAAACCAGCTGATCCACAGGAAACACTTTACTTACCAGACCTGCGAAAATGAATTAATTAGTCCACTTCTTAAATTGAGAGAAGAAAGAAGCTATAGTGCAAAAGAAAGTTTGAAAGACGAACCAGACTGTTTTGCCTCCTGAGCTGAGATTCGGTCTCCTGTGAGAACCAACTCCATTGCAAGGGATTTTCCCACTGCTCTTGTAAGCCTCTGAGTGCCACCAGCACCTGAAGCCAAAGAAATAATGTCATTTCAGCTGCCTTTTTTTTTTTTTTTTTTGAAGTATTCCCATTCATAATTATTATTCATCAATTAATCAACATAACAAAAAAACTGATGCATTATTGTACCAGGAATGGTCCCAAGCAGGATTTCTGGCTGTCCAAACTGTGCTTTCTGATGATATACATCACCTCATTAGAGTTCACAAGCTGTCATGGCTTTTAATTGTGGAAATATCTCTAGTATGCGCACTATTGTTGTACCTATATTATTATTTTATTCTTAAATATGTTTCAGCTGTAAACAGTCGCACACAAATGTAACTGCGGCTACTATAAAGCTCAGTTTTTCCATTATTAAGTTGCAGATACTCGATGTTTATGCTTGAAGCACTCAAGTGGGAGTCGTTCTAGTGAATGCATTTAAATATTTTACCTACCGCAAACCCATTGACAGCTGCTATAACAGGCTTTTTAACTGTTGATACCCTGTTCCAATGTGCCAAGAAGTTTCCACCATAGCACTCTTGAAAAGTTCGATTCTGCATCTCTTTAATATCAGCTCCAGCTATGAAAGCAAAAGTGTCAATAAAACACAATCAATCCAAAACAATTCTACATAACACACAACTAATTTCACAGATGATTTCACACCCGCGAAGGCTTTTTCGCTTCCTGTGATGATAATTGCTCCCACTTCGCTGTCAGCCTCGAATGCATCAAGGACTTTGCCCACCTCCATCATAAGCCCATCACAAAGAGCATTCAGAGCCTTTGGTCTGTTCAGTTGGATGAAGCCAACATTCTTCTTTTCACCCTTTTTGTCAACTAGTATGTACTGATACTGGCCACCTGCAACAGAGATGAAGGTGGGGGTCAAACTAACTCACAATGGATCCATGCAATTTTTAAATAACTTAAAACAGTATTAAGCATATACATCACCTCATTAGAGTTCACAAGCTGTCATGGCTTTTAATTGTGGAAATATCTCTAGTATGCGCACTATTGTTGTACCTATATTATTATTTTATTCTTAAATATGTTTCAGCTGTAAACAGTCGCACACAAATGTAACTGCGGCTACTATAAAGCTCAGTTTTTCCATTATTAAGTTGCAGATACTCGTACAACACATTCAGAAGTCACAGAACTAGCGCAGGCAAATAACGCAAGTTTCCAACCAAAGCAAAACTCGAGAGCGACACTGAAAAAGAAGCCATTCATCTTACGGAGACATGATTTCTGTTACCTGAACTGCATTGCCTTGTTGCTGCTAATGCAGACGGCAGCAGTTTACTGTGTTTGAGAAGTAACCCTGTGGATCTGCAGAGCAGCGCCATGGTTAATGTGCGGCGTCAACGGTAACACTGCGACGCTGGAGTCGCGCTGGTTGGCTGTCAATGGTTACGTCACTGCGTAGTCAGGATGCCAGATACTGTATTAAAAAATCCCTCTTCCTTTATTATTTGACCACTGCTTTCCGTACTAATAAAGAGTAGGCGTGTGGTTTTCTTCGTCTTTTGTTGGATTTTTTAATAACCACCTCAGAAGGGAGTTTATCATTATTTATTAGAATTGAACCAAACACACACGTTGCACGTCTTTCAGAGATGTTTAAAGAGTTAATGATTTTATATTTCCTTTTTAATACTTTGATTAGACCTTGTTTTAACACTAGAATTATATAGAAAAGAACAGATGGCAACGGAATATTTTTGCGCGTATAGCTCCCTCTATTGGTCACTTTCTTGAATGAACTTCGCATTGTGACAAATGCACTGCCTTTTCTGTTTTTGTATTGCCAGTAGAAAACGTATAACATACACAAGGGCTGATCTGAGGGTGATGTTAATTATGGCTTCAAAACATGTTATACATATTACAGTCAATTAAATAAAATAATTTATTTCTCCAATTAAAGAAACCAACCAGTAGAGTGCACTTTATTCTTGCAATTTACAGTATTTACAGAGTTTGATGCCGTTTACGTATTGAGTTTTGTTTGAACTGGTAAACCGCCAAGCAGCTTTAAAAATCAGGTGAAGCTAATGCTAAGTGTACACAGGACACATTAAATTACTTCAAAGTCTGTAAGGACTGATTTATTGGTCTGCAAATCCATTAGAAAAGCACCGAAATTCATGGAGGTTACAAAATTCACAAAATAACCAAATCTTGCCTTTAAAATCAAAACACAATGCATTCACATTAACTTTATGTTTTTCCAGATGACCAAAAAAAATTAATCACCACAAGTGTACTTTTAGGTATTTGTAATGCACATTTTTATTCACACATACTTTTTTTTTTCTCACCCAAATGCTACTCTTTAGTTGTACCATACATATTGAAGTATTTTACAGGGGATTCTGAATGACAAACGTTTCATACCTTGGCAAATTATGAATTTGTTTGTTTTTGATTAGTTTCAATATCAGCACTAGCTTGCATTACAAAAAGTGCATTACAAAAAAAAAAAAAATACTTTGAAAAGTGCAACTCAAAATCGAAGTCTGCTGGTGTAAATCATTAGTAAGAATACAATTTTAGATCCCAAACACCAACGCCATATTTCAATAGGCACATTTCTGATAAATACCAAGTTTCGAAAGCACACTGAACCAACTCAGGTTTTAATTCATGAAAATGATTGTGCAAGTACATCCAACATCACAAACTAACTCCAAGTAATGGGCCACTTTAGTAATACATGAACACATCTGAAATAGTCTCTTTAAATAAAAGAACTGACATATTAAGCTCTAAAAGCAAAGCTCTGAAAATCCAAAAGAGGAAAAAGAAATGTACCATGCTACCTAGAGTCTAAAGAAATCAACTAAAATGTTGATGAACTGGAAACCAGTGAAAACCAATATCTACTAAACTAAATATCTAAATAGCACATACACCATACAAACACTCTCTTTAGTGTCAAGACATTACTGCAGTAGCAAAAAAATATATATATATATTCAAAAAATGAAGCATACAGAGGCCCTGTTTAGTATATGTACATCCAAAGTTCGAAGGGTTCAGAACAATGGTTTACAACCAAGACATTCATTTTCAACCCTCATAAATGTGAACCAGTTTGAAAGATTGTTACTTCTCAGATACAAGACAAGAAAGAGCAATAAAGATGGAAGCATTAGAACTGGTATCAGTAATTGGGAATATTAGTAGGATCATAGGGAGAAATGCATGTTTGTTAAAACTTCAATGAACTGTAAGTCACTTTAGATAACGGCGTCTGCCAAATACATTACCAAAATCTATTATTATACTAAGGTTTCTTAAAGCACAGTCATATTGACATTCTCTCCTTGTGTTCTTTCTCATCTGTTATTTTTGTAAATACATATTCTCCCTCCCCATTTTTCAGTTATTCAGGTGTAATTTCACACACTCATTGTTCAGAGACTAAATTAAGAATGGTCAACATTTAAACGTTAAAACATCACACCACACAGAATGAAGCTCACAACTCACAACAGATTTAGCAGTTAAATAGCAATACTGTTAAGTGCATCATATTGGTCCAGATGACCATGTTTCATTTGCTAAGCATGTCATATCAAAGTGCGTTTTCCACAACATGTCAGATGGGTGTGTGGTCAAGGACCATATTGCTTGTGCTGCCGTACCGATTCTCAGTCTCGATGAAACAATCTCTGCATGAGTTTGAGGCACAAACAACTGCAGAGAAAATCAGCCAAGTACAAAAATGCCCTACTTCACATTAAATGTACGATACTTTATTTAGCTGGAGTTTTCTGTCAGGAGTACCTTCTCAACAGATTAAGGATCTTTAATATTGCACTCAGTAAATATTCTGATTTCAATGTTGACCAGACGCTGATGTGGGCAACTGTCTTTGGCTGGTGCTAGTACTCTCTGGCGTGTAATAGCATCATTTCATCACATGAAATTCAGTCAAGTAGATCGACCAGTAAAGCAGACAAAACAGCAGTCCTTCAACTTCATTCGTCACTGCCTCTGTTTCCATGTGTTCCAGGACACAGACTGACTAGAAGTATAGTTTTAGAAAATATTACAATAGTGACCATAATACTGAACATACAGTAATACTGACTAATGAGAAGCATTGCGGACTCTTTCACTACAGAACAGGGCACATTCTTCCACACAATAGTTGATGTGACAGTAGTACTACATACACCACCATTCAAAAATTAGGGTCAGTAAGTTTTTTTTTTTTTTTTTAAAGAAATTAATACCACTTAGTTTTCACAAAAATAATAGGCAGCACAGATGTTCTCAGCACTGATAAAAATAAATGTTTCTTGAGCATCAAATCAGCATATCAGAATGATTTCTGAAGGATCATGTGACACTGAAGACCAGAGTGAAAACTAGCTTTGCCATCATAGGAATAAACTACATTTTAAAGGTGTCATATGATGCTGCTAAAAAGAACAGTATTTTGTGTATTTGGTGTAATGAAATGTGTTTATGTGGTTTAAGGTTAAAAAAAAACACATTATTTTCCACATACTGTACATTATTGTTTCTCCTCTATGCCCCGCCTTTCTGAAACGCGTTGATTTTCACAAAGCTCATCAGTCTGAAAAAGCGAGGTGTGCTGTGATTGGCCAGCTATCCAGTGCGTTGTGATTGGCCGAATACCTCAAGCGCGAGACGGAAATGTTATGCCCCTCACCATATTGTGATGATGCCGTCAGGCTGGAGCGATGATTAAAAAAAAACATGAAAACCCATTATAAACGAGGCATTCATTGCATCCAGTGGGGACATAATTAGAGACTTTAGTCTTTGCAACTTTACAGATCTTCTTTATGCACCAAGAGCTTGTAACACTCAAAAGAGAAAGGAAAAATTGAAATCGCATCATATGACCCCTTTAAAATAAAATGGAAGTTATTTTAAATTGAAATAATATTTAAAAAAAAAACAATATTGTTTTTACTGCAGTTACCATCAAATAAATGCAGTCTTGGTGAGAGACTCCTTTCGAAAACATTCCTTTCAAAAATTCTTACCGACCCCAAACTTTTGAATGGTAGTGAACATATGTATGATTTTAACGCAAATCAAGAAGTGTTTTTTGGATATTGTAATGTAATAAGTAGTAATAATAATAACTGCTATCATACTAATCCAATCCTACAAGTGGAAGTTGAGCAGAAGACAACCGAGTGGACAGCATTGTGGGTGTACAGGGCAGAGGATCTCAGCAAAATCACTGCTGAATACAGAAACATGTTGACCATTGACTATGTGTTTATATATTAAGAGGAGTGACATAAGGAGTATGGAGGAGGAGGAGACGCTCACTTTACACCCACAGCTAAGCTATTACGAAGCCTATCAGTGGATGACAGTACATTCAAGAAACAATTCAGCCCTGTTATATCTGCTCCTTCAACTTTTACGAGGTGCTCATAATAAAGCGTAAACAGATAAGCGGAGTTATTTTTTTGCAAAATTGCTGCACTGAAGTCATTCCTCACAGAAAACAATGCAATTAAACATCTGTGTTGGTTTGGTTGCCAAGGATTTAACATTATACTGTTGTAATTAAATACTGTGCTGGCTTGGAGGAGAATGACTGGATGATCAAATTTCCAAAAATAAAAACTTCCTCTACCTCAAATTAAATAATCCTCATGGTGACATTCTACAAAATTTCAGTGTAACATATTCTATATCTCCCAAAATGAGTAGTTGCAATGAACAGAGACAGGAAAGGTATGCCATTTAAATGTCTACCATACACACCGCTACACAATTTGGAGATAAAATAACATCTTCCTTCCAAAATATTTTAATTATTCAGATTAAATAACAAATCAAACCCAGGTGGAACAGCAAATGCGGAATCTGAGCTCCTATATTCTAGCAGCCAAAGCATTTCAGAGTAACTCATAATAATTTAAAGCAAATTTATCATCAGAGTGAAATGAAGTAAAATCAACTTTATCTGATTTCCTGAGTTTTGGATCATTTCGAACCTACACTGCTAGACTACAAGCACACTGGCAGTGTCTATGGAGAGCAGCTAAATCCCAGTGGCATACTGTATGTTACTGCCACAGAGTGCATATCAAAGTGTGCGATCCCTGAAAAATGATTGAAGCTAAACAAATAAGCTACAATGTGAAGCAAAGATACTGGAAAACACACATCTGATATTGCAACCATTCACCAAACCTGGTATGATACAATCCTCAGAAATCATTACAATGTGAGGTTAGAGGGCAAAAGAGAAGTGGAAATGCAGATGTTGTTGATGTCTTTGTGTGAGCTGCGGCAAACGCACAGGTGCAGATGGTCACCTGTGAGAAGTCCCTTCTGGCGCGTGCTCAGGTGTGCTTGGTTAGCCCAGCTTGGTGATCTGAAGACTCCCAACTATCCGGATCATATTAATGGCTTGCAAA